TGAAATAAAATGTGTATTTTCATTTTCCGTATTTTCACTATAAAAAAAATATTTTTGACTGCAGTAAAACATATTTTCTGTATTTTCACTGTTGACTTGCCGGACTACTCTTTTCTTAATTCTGCCAGTGGGAAAGTGTTTCAAATTGTTATGTCAAAAAAGAGAAAATGTATATAATAAACAGAGAATTCAAGTTGTGCCTATAAATACAGGATTTCTGTTCATCTTGTGGTATGAAAATTATCATATTTCACTCGTGGCTACCACCTTTCTTGAAATATTTCTTTTCATGCCACTCGATGAAAATAAATCCTGTATTGAATAGCCTAATAAATTAAGGAATTTTTTAAAATGAAAAAAAAAATCTTCAATCATGGCTCGAACCCGTGTGGTTTGTCTCGTCCTAGTTTTGTGAGAGTTTTTAAACACGTTGAGAGCTTTAATGGCACATAACATGTATAAAATCAAAAGAGTGAGTAACGAATTAGCGGATTGGGTTCCCGCCGCCGCAGCTAAGCTGCAACGACGAGAAGTGTCTGACCTGCTTTTGGCTCAAGTGACAGTACTCTTACGATTAAGTAATGAGATATAACCAACCAACAACGGCTCACTCCGACAGTAGTAGGTAATTTGGTATATTTAAACTTAATACATTATTGCGAAATCACTTGATATTGGATTAATGATCGATATCCGTGTTTAAAATAGTAACGTTACGGTTGTTCTATTTTTAGCAGTATATAAATAACACATTGATTTGTAAGTAACAGTAAAATATCATCCATAGGAAAATACTGTAACCCGAGACGTTAGCCGAAGATAACAGTGTTTTCTTTTACTGTTATTCATAATCCTATGTCATATTTATTTTATTAGATTTCTACCCCGAACAAATCATTTGAAAATTTCAACTAAATCTAACTGTTACAAAACTGAACCAAGAGTAACAATATCTAAACTTCCCTTACATTGCAAGTTCGAACAAAAAGGCATGTTACCAGATTTATATACTGTTAAAAGTACTGTTCCCCTGTAACAGTACAAATTTCTTAGCCACATGGACATGGTACATTTGCTTTAACGATAAGAATAACTCCCATTGGTCTATTATAAATAAACATTACAAAGAGTATGGGGTTATAACATTGAATAAAGTATACGTTAAGTCATATTAAACCTCACGTATAAAGCCTAAGGTGACATTACATGGTTTTATTTCGATCAATCATATCACCCATGCAATATTCACCAGGGGCGAGTAATCTATTTAGACTAAAAATGTAATGTTCTAGTTCTCTCCCCTGGCCGCAATCGCTGCTGAATGGCTTAATTTCAGGAGCAGCCAATATTGTACCATTCAGTAACATTTGCTTACCAGAACTATTACAGAAAGTATAAATAAATGTTGCGAAAATAATGTGATGTTTTACAATGCTTTAATCTTAATGAAAATAATCTTTGTTTCAACCTTCCCCTTTTTGCATAAGAATTGCAGTTACCATTTATCACTGCGTGATCTTAAGGGGTTCGAATAACTTGAGTCTTTGCTTTGTATCTCTTGGCTCAAGAAAGTGTGGAGGTTTTGAATATCGGCGTTGCTTTAAATTTGTAACACCCGATGTTAGCCAAAATCATCTTGACCTAAATTGTGTTGGTGCGCCGTAAAACCAAACTAAACAAACAAAATAAATAGTTTAATCGTAGATATATGCTTAATTAACTTCATTTAATGGATTATTCATATTCTATAGATATTTTTATATTGTTTATCATGTTGTTAAACTAGAGTAAAAGCAGCCATATCACTCTGATCTGATACAATTCCTTAAACTATACACCTAGGGTAATATATTTCTCAAATATTACATTGTATAAGAATGAGAAGAATTGTTAATTTCCAAATATCCATATACATGTATATACGTTTGTCAGTATAACGACAACTCAAATCACTTAATGTAAATATATGGTAGTGAATGTATTCATTGAACGTCCATTTTCTACTGCCGACCTGACCCCGTCCCCACCCCCCGTCCCCTGACCACCCCAAACGGCCAATCCCACCCCTACTCACTCCTAATTCAGTACAATCAACATCTAAAAAGGTTTGAAGCATCAGCAGATATTGTGACACGTAATGAAATTGATTTATTGTTATGACAGTGTCCTTATTATTCATCTTGTGCGTGCTCATTGATAAAAAAAATAAAGTTATAAATTTCATAATCTCATGAATAGCGTGTCACGTGGAGTGCATTTGTAAAAGATGTGACAGAGTACTCTTGAAGAAACGATATGTTTAAGTTGATGTCAGATATAATATTAAACAGTCCCGTCATTGGACGAGCAAATAAAGCATGCCATGAAATGTTTATCGAAATAAACTAAATGAGCCGTGTCACGACAAAACCAACATAATTGGTTTGCGACCAGCATGGATCACGACCAGCCTGCGCATCCGCGCAGTCTGATCAGGATCCATGCTGTTCGCTATCAGTTTCTCTATTTGTTATAGGGTTTGTAAGCGAACAGCATGGATCCTGATCAGACTGCGCGGATGCGCAGGCTGGTCTGGATCCATGCTGGTCGCAAACCCATTATGTTGGTTTTGTCGTGACGCGGCTCAAATATCTGTCTAACGGATAGTACTGAGCAAGTAGAACACTGAAAAGTCAATGTTCAGCGATAAAATTAATGGGATACTTTAAGGACGCACAAAACGTGATTTCAAAACTACCGGGCAAATGGATAGAATCATCAAAACTCAAAATCAAGGAAGTATCACAAGAAATGATGAACTTTTTTGTAAAGATTGACAAAATACTCATTCTCTATGTAATATCCGATAGATAAATAAATAAATAAATAACTTGATTGCCTTAGTCAGTGTAGCAGTCCCTGATCGGTGTTTTTTATTCATATACTGTAATAGTTAATGATGCCGTGACATCATGGCATGCTCCTGATCATTTAATGTTTGCTTTGGGTTCGAATTCACGCATCCGTAAATAAGGGAAGAATGAATCCATCTGAACGGAGGATGTTTTATAATTGCAACTTTTCGACATTTTCCGTCAATCTTTGGATAATAACCTCGAACACAATAGTATGATTACACAAAACATCGATTACTTTAACATTGATTCCCGGTACATGTATATACATGGATTACCGCTTAAAACACCGATAACCGTCAATTGCATTTTAAGCTTCTCGCCCCCTGTGTACGATAAACCCCAGTCACACTAGAGCTTACGATTACTTGCGACCAACGGCGACGTGTAAAACCGACGATCATCGGCGATTGTCTGCGACCAAACCCCCTTTGTACAGATAAATTTACTTCCGCGATTATCGTACGACCAGTCATTGACAATCGCGCGACAGGTCATCATCAAACGTACGATGGTCCCAAGATTGTCTGGGATTACTTAGGACTACCCGTGACCTGTCATGCAATCACCTAAAGACTATTAAAGACTAACAGTGACTAGTGGCAATTTGAAAAAAAAACTGTGGTAAGATTGTTGCACGTCGGTTTTGCAATTAACAAAAAGCTGGAAAAAAACTGATGGATTGTAGGTATAAATAAAGACTTTACAGTGAAACATTTACGTTTATAGCCCAATAGGCTGAGCATCATTTTGGACAGGGACGTCTTGAGGTAATGCATTTTCATGCTGGCTTACAACTTGATCTTCAGTATCACCCTCAGAGTCAAAGTCGTGTTTGGTCCTTTTCAGGACTTTTCCTTTATCCTTTGACATTTTGGGTGGCATGACAGTGTTACTCCGACAGAAGAAAAAGTGCATATGAGGAATGAACTGGAAAGTGCCTGCTTTACATAATGTTAGATCACGTGGTCTGTGTCTGGTCACAGGAAATCTTTAACTAGTCTCTGACGATCGTACGACAGTTGCTACATATCGTAGAGAAGTCGCTGGTTGTCATTTGTAATCGTGGGTGATCGTAAGACAGGTCGCTACTAATCGCACGAGGATCTTACGACTTTGGAAAGATTACCTGCGGCCAAGTGACAAGGACATCTGCGGCGGCCAGCTGAAGATTATTAGAGACTTTTAAACGACGAACGTGCAATCGATCGTGCAACAGCCTAAGACCTTAAAAGATTACTAGCGGCCTTTTTGATCGCAGAAAGGTTTTTGTGCAAACTCAAAAACCTCTTTGCGACTGAAATTGGTCGTGGGACCTATATAAGATAACCTGCGACTGTCGAAGATCACCGATTTCCATCGTAAGACGTTTTAAATATTGTCCGCGACCAGAGGTCACTGGTGATCGTCAACTGGTTTTTAGTGGTCGTAAGCTCTAATGTGACTGGGGCTTAAGATGATTGAAGATTTACTGTCAAGTGTAAGACGGCAAGTTCGCATGTTTTCTACAACTCAGGGTTACGTTTAAGGCGAAACGACTTAGTTATATGAAGTTAACTGCCGGTGTCCTGACCTAAGCCGAGGAGAGTGGGGGGCGACGTGAAAAAAGTGTGCAAGTGTGTGTAAACCCCTAGCACAAAGATTGATGGCTTGAAAGACAGGTCCTTTGCTTGGCACCAACATCCCTTTTCAGGGCTAACACCTTTACATATTGTCTCAGTTTACTCTACATTTAAGTTCTCATTGACCGCCGTACAGTGATCTACTTTCGGCTCATAATTTATATTTTTAGCTAATACTCCGTGGACATTGCTTGAAGGTAAACTATCACCACTTCGTGCTTCAAAATAAACAATTGAATGACATGACTGGTGATATGTCCGGGGGTCAGATCTCGACAGCGAAATCTGTATTTTGAGCCTGAAAGGACGGATATACCCTCATAAAGTATAGGTTTTAAGAACCGATTACCGTTAGAAGGACCCGATTGACTTTATGTACAAACACGGAACACCGATATATACTACATGCATATACCGACACCACAATATCAAATTCATAGCATATAGAAAACTGTTTATGGAAAAAAGAAAACAACGCAATCCGTAAGCAATAAAACGTATTTTAATAATATAAACAGATGTTGTAGAAACGTAAATAAAGCTATCACAGATTAAGATAAATAAATGGTATTTATCAAACATTACATACTGGAAATAAAATGAAGAAACACAGCTTTGTCTTAAAATAGTTCAAAATGTAGCATTTATCAATTAAATCCGAGACTATGACAGTTTTGTAAAACAATTTACATGTAGTATTTTCATTGTTGAATAACATAATCTGCCCAGTGTATTAGTAAATACTGTTTTCTTTCAATGCTTTGCTTTATAATTCCAATGCATATCAAACAATGAAATAAGCTGATTCTCTAAAAGAAAAAATACATAAATACTTTATAGATTAAAACATTTTCTTAAAAAGTTGTTGATTTTTTTAAATAACTTAACGTTTTACAAATCACCCATATATGTTTTAGACCCCATGTTTTTGATTGTTTTAAAGTACATTTACAGGAGACAGTTGTGTAAACATACAGTCATATTTCTCATTAATAAATTGATCCATTTTTATTGAAAGAGAAATTTAGTGTCAAAAAATTGAAATATTAAGTAAAAGAAAAAATATATAAATGGACGCATACAATGGTTCAAAATTGCTCTTGTAAGTTTTTATATTTAGTTGTAATATTATACACTTCACAGGTGCTGCTTAAATCTAATCTCTTCTTCAAATGCCTATTCATCGCAATAAAATATTTACTTTTCCGACACTTCAAGTAATGTAGTTTTTTCCACAATTACAATTCTTATGATATTGTACTGAATGGCAAAAATATTAAATCTGGAAACACCCACTTTATATGACACTTTTTATCTGTTTGAAATTTGATAATTTGAATTGAATTAGCCCTTTTTTTAAAGTCACTTTTTCGAAATGACGCAAATGTGCTTTTAATTTTCGCCACAGAGGTAGCGTTCCACTTTCTAACTACTAACCACAGAAAGAAAGCAAAAAACAGTTTATTGTTAAAGGGAAGGTTAAAGAAATATAAAAAGAAAATTTCACAACCAATAATAACAACTGTACGCTCTTTTAACATGTGAAATGACTTAAGCAATGAAAACAAAGAACAAACAAAACAAGAAAACAATGAGGCTATTTAAAACAACAGTAACAATTCTAAACACAAAACATGAAATGCTTGAAAATATTACCCATATTATAGCATGTAATACTGAAATTCTGCATTTATAATGCATGTTACATTATTCATATATACATGTATACCATATAATACACAACTTTCTTTATAGATTTCATATGATACAGTCATAATAATATAAAATGAAATTTCTTTTTAAAAAAATATTTATTTATTTTACATATTGATAACTTTAGGTCAAATTCATTTCCAAATTCAGAATGGTTTTGTTGTTTTACATAAAAATTGATTTAAACAAACAAAATAAAACATCGTAAGTAAAAACATCAGACTTAGCACTTTTAAATACATAAAAATTCTACACTTAATCTTTTAATATTTCATATGTTAACAAGAACCAAAAAATGCTGTGCTTTTTACTCTAAATAAAAGACCCAATTTTCAAACATTACTATTAATGAATATATAAATATTTAGTTATCACGGTGGAAGTCATTGATAAAAAAACAGCTGAACACTGGCCGTATTTTAGTAAATTATCTATCTGAATGTATCGTCTGTTACAATTATATATGTTGTGAGAAATTTCAACCGTGTCTAGCTAGTTATTAGAGATAACTGTATTAATTAACAAATACACGTATTACACAGAAATTTCCGATTGTCAATCGCGTCAACTTAAAGAATATACGGGAACTGCCGATTGCAAGCCGCTGAAAATCGGAATAAGTAACAATATCTAGTAATAACACAAAAATTGCCAAGTTTTAATACAGGAACGCTGACTTTTGGAGGTAAACATGTTTAATACTCTTTCTTGCAAGGTCGGCAATTGATTGTAAAATTAATGTACAAAAAAGTATGAAAGAGTAACATTGACGATTTTCAAGAAAAATTATTTCATCACAAAGATAATAATACTGATTTAAGTATGTGCAACATATACACCAAAGAATCATACACACTGAAGATATGTGTAAAGTAACTCATATTCGGGAGACTGAAAAAAAAACACATCTTTTGATTTAGCAACATGCATAATTATATTGGAATGAAAGTGAAATAGAGTCAATTCTTTGATGTGTCCCATCGAGCTTTGACCTTTCACTGTCTCTTCAAGAAATAATGCGGTACGTGCAATGAAATATGACATTTGATTAAAATATAAATACTGATTAAACCAAAAACTTTGATTCTAAAATCTCATCCTTGACCACTTGGTGGATCTTTCTGAAAAATAAATGACAGAAGCTTTAGCACTTTACAGACATAACGACTTTTTCCTCTTCAAAGGATTTTAAAAGACTGATTTTAATCTGATCCTTAGTCTTTAGAAATATTCATTTGAAGTTCATGAACATTTCTGTTTTCGGTCGACTGAATACTGCTTCAACTTGAAAAAATCAATCCATTTAAAAGTTCGCTTAGACTTCTCGTGTTGTAACAATATACACATTGTGTAGACGCGAATCACAACAATTCATCAACATATTCTATTCTATACTGAAAAACAGGGACGTCCACGCAGTCCTCCAGAACATGCGCATACACCGTAAAATAATAATTGCCTTCCTGTGGCAAAGTCACGTGATATGTTTCAGCATTGTCAACATCTCTGATCTCATGATCAATCTTTTCTTCAAGTGTATCCATATCAATCTCTGGTCCAGGTCCAGCATATTCTAATTGCGGATTAACAGCCACGTTTTGCAATAAAACAGTTATACTAAGTTTACCATCGTATGTTCGTATCACAGATTTCATATTTAATGGACGGATATTAAAATGAAACATGGCGGGCCAAGTTTTCAGCGTTCCTTCGAACCCTTCTATAGTTGCTGGTTGATTCATCAACAACCATTTCTTGTCTTTAGGAAAATGAGACAAGAGTAATTCATCCGGAGAAGTAGCAAAATAATGTTCTTGCACAAATTTATCCCCTAGTGCTCCATACTGGGGGTCAACAAGTCTATAATGGCCGTCCATACAAACTGCTACCCATGAATGTTGAAATTTAGGCGTCTGGACTGTATTTCCAGGGAGATAATCGGAAGTCTTCATATAGCCATCTACACGTTCACATCTCAATCCAGCAATCCTGAAGGTAAACAAAAACAAGAAATGATTTTACGAAATTGGTTTATTGTTTGAATCTCCTTTTTAAACACTATAAAGGGACGATTCCTCGATAGCACCTAGAACAAAAACAAAATGTAAAATAATTGCTCACAATCCATTGATTTTATGACGAAATAGAAAAAAATGTTAAAACAATGAACCTACTTCAACATGTCCATGTACATGGAGCAATGTGTTGCTTTCTTCTCATGAATGTGTTTTAATCTTCCAGAAGGAGAATTCGATTTTTTACTACTTTTTTCAAAATTTGCTACATTTTGACTCGTTAGCCAACAGTACAAGGCTTGAGCTTTGGAATGCACAGAGTTTAAACCCTTTGTCACTGCAGCAACAAGGCTTTTGAGGTCATTATGCTGATCCGGTAGCACCTGAAATATAGAGAAATACAGAAATTTTTATATACATATATGTTGCATTTTGAGTGATCCGGGCTACCTGAAATATAGAGAAATACAGAAATATTTATACCGTATGTGTTATATTGAAAATATTTTTTTGTATAAAAGTTTGATTTTGGTTGAAAATGATTGAAATTCTATATAAGGAAGTCTTGAGTTATGTATAAATAAACGACATATATGAATTAAAGTTTGCACTTGCTATTCCAATTCAAATACTTCATTTCTTTTATAAACAACTTAAATATCGAGGTTCCGTGTCTTGGTTCTGAACATTTAAAAACGCTTATTAACCGATGGTAACTTTTTTTAATAGATCAATCCCTGAAAGAAGCAAGATATTGAGGAAGAAAGTTCAGAATGAATTCATGTAAGTGAAACATTGATTAGAGAATTTTTTAACGAATACTCCAGCCAACATATTTAATCATTATTCGCGCTTTGATAATTGACACTGAAAATGTTTCCGATAATACTACCTCTTACGAAGTTATTAATTATAAAACAAGAGTATTCAAGGTAATTAATTATAAAACATGAGCATTGGAATACAACCATGTGAAATATTTTTATTAAAGTTTACCACATCACTTGAATGTGATATTTTGAACGGGCCAATATTACCAATACAATTGAATTAAATTGAACGATGTTTAATTGTAAACAATGAAACAGCAAAATGCTGATATTGCAATATTTGTGAAACTATAAAGAATTACTTGTATACATCTATATTGTAATGCAGAAGGGTAATAAACTTTATTAGCTAATCAAATCTTAATTTCATTTTACCTGCATGGTGTAATATGAAATGCGCAATGGAGAGACAATGACTGCAAATAAACACACCATAGTTTAATCATTTGAAATATACGGTCAAAGTAAACATGAATTTTGAATGAGATATCTGATAAACTCCTTTTATAATTTATTTTTCATTTGGGAATCGTAAATCTAGAAGGCTGATAATGTATTGTGTGGGTTTTGTATAGTGAAAATTTATGATCACGAAATCAAAAGAGTTCCATTGTCATGATACAGCAATCAGATTCTTCTTGGTATAATATAGAAAAAATATAAAATAATGCATGACAATGCGTGACACCGAATAGCCATTTTTATAGCTTGTAGAAAAGAGCAAAAGGTCAAATGTTTAAAATGTAGGACCGAAGTGCTGTTTTTTACAAAATGACAGCTTGTTAGTTTTATGATTTTAAATTATTTTGTTAAATAAAGATTTTTTTGAATTATTTCTTTTGGACAATAATGATCTCCATTGCACATATCGTAAAGTAATTGTTGAATTAAAATGTACAATTATTCCTTGAGATAAGGCCATGATCTTCTTTTCAGCTTTAATTCTAAAAGATTTTTTAACCAGATGTACATTTTGTAAAGAATGAATTACTATAATTAGAATGAAATAATGTCTAGTAACTATAAGGAAATTAGTTTTTTGAAAAAGGAAAAATGACCTACATTTTAATATCATTGGCAATAAACATCGGAAACCTTTAAGACAGTCTCTAAGTGCAAAGTCATCAACATGTGGGGTGTTTTACTTTAATCTTTATTCTTGCCAAAAATTTGAAATATATAAAGTTTACGAAAAGTTAATAAAGAAACAGAATATCTTTGGTGTACTTTTTTATCTTTTCTCTTTTCTTATCAGGAAAAGCGTTAATTTAGTGCCTGATTAATATACAAAAATAATATATAGAACATTATCAAATTAAGTGGTCCGCTAAGTTGGTTTGAAAACTTAGTAGATTAAGTCCGCTTTATTGTATAGAAAAAATGGAAACTACGCATTCTGTTTGTACAAGGTACGAAACTACCCCTCCTCACCCCAACCCCTCGCGTACAAAATAAAATTTACAAAAAGAAGGGTAAAAACTTATTTATATTTATTTCACGTTTTATTGCGTTTTTCTGTCGATCATAGACATTTCTTTCTTAACAGCCTACAAACTCTCTGAAATAACACGGAATGCTTCAGAATTATACGGTTTTAAGAATATATAGATGCTTTTTAATGAAACCGCAACTTAAAGGTGAATCATGACAAACCTTTTAGTTTTGGTTGCATATTGGTGACATAAATCTAACAAAGAGTTACAAAGCTAGGATGACAGGCGGAGATTTTAGACATTTATTTGAACAGCAGTTTAATCTCAAGTCTAAATACTTACGAGATATTAATGTTGCAAGCATTTACAATGTCAGACATATTTATACCAATGTTAACATTTTATTCCTTTTCAATTTAACAGAAATTAAACTTCAATGTAAAAAATCTTCAAATATATTTCAAGTCTTTTAAAGAAAATACAAAAGGAATTGATCTATTTTTCAAACACAGTTAAACAGTAAAAATGAATTCAAAGGAGCAGTAATTCCACTTTATCATTAAATAATAGTTTCTTTTTAGCGCGACAAATGATTGCGCGCACTTGACCGCCTTTTATGAATTTGAACATTTAATTTTGATATTATTTCATAAAACTTTCAGTAAAAAAAAAGAATTATCACAAAGCAATATTCAATCAAACATTTGGCACGAGTGACAGTCGCTTGTATTAACATTTATATAGAAAATAAACTAAACGGCCATGTATTTCTTCTCTTGATTAATCTGTCTTATATTATTTATGAGTAAATCGAAATATGGTTTTAACCGTAACAACCTTTGCGCTGAAGTGCTGTTATGGTAAGAGCATCTATATATTTTAAAAGGACCGGCTATACCGTCGCATTCGGTGCAATTTCAAACAATTTATGCGCCATAAAAAGCATAAATATGTTGAGATTAACTCTTTATCTTATATCTGTTTCGGGTAATATTTTATATAAATAGATAGGTTGTAATGTTTAGATATATCACATTGTCTTTGTTTACAACTTATTCAGGAAGGGAAAAATGTTTACACATATCTTAGATACGAAGCCATGCTATGTTACTATGCAATGTACGCAATATCTGTGAAATATCTCAAACAATGTTATGCATTCATTTCATAGTTTTTATAATCATTTTGTATCGAAACTTATTAACTAAACGCCATTATTTATCGTCTTTCTTAAGTACTTTTTGTGATACTTTAAAAAATTGCATAGAACTTGACACTGTAAAAAGCCTTTAATAAATGTACGTTTTGCACTTGCTTATAAAAACATATAACATGTTGATATCATTATTATGATGTTTGAATGCCAACTTTAAATATTTTGATTTGTCTAACTCTTCAGATTGTAAAATATATATAATCTGTACACTTATACCACCTGTTTCAAAATCTGACACTAAAATAAATTTTAATATTGTAACAGCAAATGTGTTTGAGAGGAGTTTTAAGTGGCAATAAAGGTTTATGTAAAGGTTATCTGAGGTCATGCTTAACTGGTCAATATAGAACATAAAAGGCGTGTCATGTCAATTATTCATTAACCTTTATTTAACCTACTACGATTCCATGGTTAATTAAAACCAATAATTTCATTAGACGATTTCATTTTGAAAGCGCCTGGTTTATTTATATCCAGTTTTCTGATATTTCAGCTTTAAGAAAGCCTATAGAATAAATAATTCATAGTTTTAATCCTTTCGCCACTATATCAACTTTACCCTAAATACTGAGTCAAATCATAACATATTTGTAAGAAAAACCACTAAAATTTTATTAGCATAAAAAACTTGATAAGAAAATGCAGCATTATCAGATTTATTTGTATTTTGAGGTTTTGATTATTTAAACAGTGACATATTAGAACATTCGTCATGATAACTGTAAGCCGATATCTTAAGGCAACCCGTAACGTTTTTATAATTTGAGTTTGTGTTCTAAAATATAAAAGAGTGCTATGATCAAACACATACATGTACTGTTTTCAGCTCGGGCATTTTTATCAATATTTCTTTCCGAAAATGTACGGAGAAATAGTGCTAAATTACCTTTGCGACTTTGTCTAGCATCTCTTGGCAAGAGGTTGTATGGTAGTGATCATCCACATCCAGATCCCGTTCTTTATGTAGCTCGGAACTGGAATAACTGGCCGATGACGTACTTACAGCTATACCGCTGTCTGGACGGCTTCTAACCATTACCTTAGACTCCATCTGTTCAAAAACATAAGTATTAAAATTGAAAACTAACCAAAAAAGTACCCCTTGCAATTTGGCACTGTTAGAAACACATACTTTAAAAATGTATTACAGAAGATCCGACTTTAAAAATTGTTTTATGCCCTAATGAAAAATAATGTTTTTTTCCTCCTACAAAGCAATTTGATTTAAAGGTACATGTATTATAATAACTTAGAATACATAACTTGCTTCATAGTAAGAAACAATATATATAATATATCTATTTACCCCTTCAACGTTCGGTAAAGCATCTTCCTCTATCTTACGTAAGGGAGTGTGAGGGGCCTCAGCAGAAGCCACGCCTAAACCGTGAACTTGTGTCTGTCCCCGCCTCTTTTCTCTGTCACGTGACTGTCCAGAAGTTCCTCGGGGTCCATTAGATCGCCGGCCTGAAGGCTGCAAAAGTAAGTTGTGTTACAACAATGTTCATTAGTGTATAACTCTACTAAGGAATAATTCGTTTGTTTCATAAAAAGATTTGAACCCTTAACCTGTTGGTGGCAACTAAAGCTAACCATGCGACCAGTCCAAATCATTATTATGGTCTGTACTGTTTGCTATTTAGACAAGTACTTGTTTCAAAATAATGAAAAGATTTTGTCTAGATTTTAAGACTGACAAGTCCAGTTAATGTTTTTAGCGTGGTGAGAGATAAATAGAAAACAATTTAATTTCGACTACAGTATGATTCAATCTGCCAGATAACGGCTTATCCACCAGTGCAACTTTATTGTCACAACTGGTGTATGCATCCATCTTGAGAGCTAAGACTTTTGTCCATCATTAAATATACAAGATATCTTAAAGCATTCATATAAGCAATATGTTAAGTTTTACGTCGAACCAACACTGTAAATATCATATGATATATGTCAACTTTCTAGCTTTACCGGTTTAAGGATGACCTCGAGGCCCCATCCGTACATTATTTCACGACGTTGGATAGCTGCCTCACATGAATAATAGACCCAAAGCGGTGACGTCAAGAGGTCAGAAGGCAACGACCTTAAAACCTTGGCCTCGGACGCCCCCTTAGTCAATAGCTTTGTTAAAAGCAAAAAGGTCTTTGAAAACAAAATGGATAGTGAAGGCTTTGTCTTTCGTCTGAATTTTATTTTTGAAGGTATATGGTACAAATAATATATCATTCATAATGATAGTTATATAAATATTTCAGAAAAAGTTTATTGTACCGAAATTTAATGTTCATGCTCATGATAAATGATAATGTCTGACTTTAGAAATTCGAATTTAATTTCACTTTTAGTCACGCTCAATTTAAACATGGAGAAAAGTTGCCTTCTAAGCAGCCATTCAAGATAATTTATTGCCTTAATTACATCGATTTTCATGATATTTTCTACTTGAACTTGAGCCTACAATACAGCTACCCCGTAAAGGTCAAGGTTATGCTAATTATCGTCTGCTGACCATATATAGTAACGATTTAATCACAGTATACTCTGTGTTACATGCAATCTTAAAATAAACATTTCTTCCCTCAACCGGTTGATTAAATGTCACTTTTAATTCTTTCGTTTTGTAGTTAACGAAACATAATTCCATGCTTTAGTAATAAAATGTCTATAATGATAAAATTTCATGATATAGACCCAAAGGAGGTCTCTTAAAAGATTAATGTTTTTTTATGAAATATTATATTATTTTATGAAAGAAAACTGTATACTTTGCTCTTATAAAAACATAATCATCTTTGTATCGTAATTGCTTTTCAAACAGATTATGCTTTGAGTCGATTGCACTACTCGTATTTGCAAACATTCAACCCACCACTTTTCTCTGAAGTTGAACATTTCACTAAACTATTACATGATTACAATATCTCACATAATGTATAATTCTTTAATTATCTAGTTAATGAATGTTTATAAAGTCCATGTGAAGTGGTTGCATCTGTCATGGGCAGACCAAATCGCCAATGGTCATGAGATATCTTTAAGTTTAGGTAATTTATAAGTAACGTTTTGTATATACAAACATTGTTTTTCACACATCCACACATCTTCTGAGTGAGGCATTGATTGAATAATAAAACACATTCTTTTGTAATTAAAAAGAAAATGATATGTTTCAAATAAGAAACTTAAAAAAAATCATTTTAATATTCATATGTTGTTTATTATATAATACAATGCATACAAATGTTATTAAAAACAGTTGTTTCAAATATGTAATCGATTTTTTGTATTCTCATATTTGTTCTGATGTTAAAACAATGAAAAATTATTTAAATAACAGCAATAATCAAACTCTTTATCTTTTTCTTATTTGACTAAACAACAAAAGCAGGCATGTGATATAAACTCAAATCATCTGTTTTGATTCACAGACACTTCCCTTTTAGCTCGAACCGTTGTTCTTCTCATTTTTAAACGATTTAAACTTACCATTTAAATACAGTTATCTTCCTACAAATCCGGCCTATGAACTAACCCTAAAATTTACCTACAATTCTGTTTGTTATCTCTAAATTCAATGCTACTACTTTTATTTTCTCCTTTATGTCTTTGTATTATGATATGATAAACAAACGCCTTTTATCTTTGACAATAAGAATCATAATCCTTGTACAACGGTTATGAATCTATTAACATATTTTTTTCTTTACATAACTGTTTAGCATAAACTATTCACGAAAATGAATGGTTTTAAAATTAAATATTAAATTTCACCAACTTGTTTATAAACTTTATAAATGTAATCCTCATTACCCCAGACAGTTATTGTATGCATTCAACCTAATTCTTTACTTTTAATGCAGCGCTAATGAATTATTGCCCATTACAAACTAAGCAACATTTATACATTTAATTTGCAAAAATTAATTTAAACAAAACCATTAATTCATTCAATTGTCAAACTTTTGTTATTTATATATATAATGCAATCTGCAAGTATAGATTACTTTGAACAGATAAAACAGAATCCGTAAAGAATGCCCAAAACAGAAAAGATGAAAATGTTGCAGGCTGGAAATTGCAATCTACTGCCCACGCCCCCTAGCACCGGCTAAAGCAGAACTCAGCATCTAAACATGAAATGACGAAAGACTGATTTAAAATCCTCTTCCAAGCCTGGGTATTAACAGGATATAAACGAGAGTATTCTCAACCAAAGACAAATTCACGAAAAGAATTATTCTTACCCGAACTGTTATGATTACAGACATTCTAAGTTGGGTTTTATATGCTCAATCCAAAATGTGTTTTCCATTTGCAAACTTAATTATCCAAAAGTAAAAGTTTTAATCAAATGTTAAACGCTTTGCTTCCTCACACGCCCGGTTTTTGTGTCTATGTTTTTCAAAATCAAACTCTATTTAATTATTTTCCAGTTAGCATGCACATTTTTATACTTTATTTCATCATCGTATTTAAAAGAATAGAAACAACTAAACTCCTTTGCGTTCTTTGAAATTCCTTTGGTCCTTTTTCAATGCTGGCCAAATTAAAATGACACTTGATTTATTGTACCCCTCTCTATAATCGCTAGCGTTTCTTTATGTCAACATTCACACATTTCAACACTGAGATTTAATCCGTTAAGATATAGTTCACAAATTTTAATGTCAATAAGCAAAATTTTAAAATATTCGACCACGAAGTTTAAATAGGCTTTTACGTCATACAGACCATTTTCTGATATGTCACAGATGTCGGCACTTGTAAAAGATTTTGAACTAATTAGTATGAATGTCGATTAATAATTTTAAACAGTATTCCATACGGTGTATCAGCTTACACTTAAATATATTATAATCCGAATTATTAAAATGAATAATAATGAAATTTTGATTAATGTCGAGATGGGAGGAAATTTATATCGTGCACAGTTTTCTTTCCAAATGTCAAAAATGTATTAATACCCTCTCGCTCAGTGCCTTAATTTTATACCCCACGTACTTAAAACGTGGTATACGAGATAATGTGATTGTAGAGAAGTCGGTTTATCCAGACATCTACCCCCTTTAACACAATAGAAAACCAAATGAATGGGAATTAATTTCAGTGATTTCACGATGCATCCTTGCTGTTAAACTTAATTATACAATAGAAAACCAAAATGAATGGGGAGTAATTTCAGTGATTTCACGATGCATCCTTACTGTTCAACTTAAATAACCAATCCTATATCAAATTGTATAAATCATAAACAGAAGTGTGATTTATTCCCCTGTTACTCGATTAAACCCTTTCTTAAAAATGAAACTATCACATCATTATAAATCAGTTTAACAAAGTTGTACTGTTTGTGGTACAATTTTAATGTTACTTTAAATGGAGATAGTCATTTTGGTAATGTCAGGATATAATTCGACAATTACTTGTTACTTACAATGATACCGTAATTTAGTTAACTTACCAGATACACACACTAATTTCACGTAAATACCCAAATAGTTCACTTAAATATACCCAAAAAAGTCCTCCAATATTATATCGTATATAGTGTCACCGTGATTTTGTTATATAGTGTTATTTTCTTATTTAGGTAACCTTTACAAAATATAAATTTTATAAAATTAAGGCACGACGCGAGAGGGTATTTATACATCTTCTTTCTTTCTTTCTTTCTTTCTTTCTTTCTTTCTTTCTTACTGTCTTTCTGTCTTTCTTTCTTTCTTTCTTTTCATTTTTTTTCATTTAATTTCTTACACGTAACTGTCTTATGTTAATTCGATGGATTTCTGGCAGTTTATACGGACGACGATGCTGGTAGCTGCTGGTTATTTAAAAATGTCTGGTGTTTTACTTTTCTTGTTATTTTATTTATAATACATATAAACACATAGCTTTATTCTTTGCAATGTTTCATCCAAAGACACCAACCCCGAGGTTTTTTAACTTTTAACTGAAATCTGCCTCAAAACCCAAAATTTTCATTGGCAAATGTACACACTGTAGGTGTCTAACTAATCGAATATTTGAGCTAAGAAAATATCTCCCAGTACGGATTAGCTCAGAAAACAGAGTCGAGTACAATTACAATAAGCTCTACCACAGTCATCCGAATCAAAATTAAATGATTTTGTTGACACTATATAATGAACAAAATGATTTATGACTTTTTAACACCGGAATATAAGAGTTATATATTGATTTGATTTAATGACTTAATGTCTGCTAGTGAATTATTGTTTGTTAATGTAGTACCAATCAATTTTCGTTGTCTTACTTCCTGACTAAATTATAATTTAACTTTTCATCTACAAGTATTTTAATTGAAGATTAGAAAATAGTTTTATTTACATTAAAGTTGACTTTTTGAACCATCTTTCATATTGAGCGAAAACTCTTAAATTTCAATTTTCGCTGTTAAAGAAAATGTCATTTAAATACGCGGTCAGCATTTTTCACGTTTAACGTATCTCGATC